TAGGGTTTAGGGTTTAGGTCTTAGGACCCAGGGTTGAAATTTTCGGCTGCTTGTGAACCCTAAAATCCTAAACCCGAAACCCCAAAACCTTAAACCCTAAAGCTTCAACCCGACAGATTTCATTCAGTGTCAGACGAAAGCGCACACTCCTTCAACCCTAACCCTAAACCCCTAAACCCTAACCTTAAACCCCTAAACCCCTAAACCCTAAACCCCTAAACCCGAAAGCGACCAGAGGCTCTGTATCCGGACCCCCTCCCCGGAGTATGCGGACGCCGTGGAGCCTGTGGCTCCAACTGGTCATGTTTTCGTGCTTAGGGTTTAGGATTTAGGGTTTAAGGTTTAGGGTTTAAGGTCTGGTGTTTCGGGTTTAGGGTGCTTCTTCAGACTCTAGTGTTATATTACTGTCAAGGTTTAGGGTTTAGGGTTGTTTACTTCAAGTTCTAAACTATGGCGTACTAGAGGGCGTGGTAGGACTTTCCAAGCAGTTTCGATGGGTCTATATAGAACGCTTTCGAGCATTCAGCACGCCTTCGTGCGGGGCGCCTCATTTTGAGAGGCGTTTAGGAGCTTATGGCTCATCTGACGGTACGTGGCTCGCTTGCTTGGTAGTTGCTTTTGAGACCGGGTTTCGTGAGAGATGTCTAGAGTCTAGAGCTCAGGACCCCTCAAGTAAGGACCGCACTGCGGAACCAAACCTAATAGGCTAAGAACTCGAATTATTTCTAGAACCCTAGATGGAAAGCTAAAGCCGTAACCCGTCATTAGTTATTCAAACCCTTATATTACTCTAGGCACTACAGAAGTATTCAGATGCCTGTACTATCCCAAATCCAACTATCGTCTCTCAAATCCTAAACCCCACACCTCATGAACCTACAACTCGGAGCCCGATATCGCAGATCTCCCACCCAAAGCCTTGAAAAAATGTCCCTTCCTTTCCTGAACCCTAACCCGAAACGGTTTAGGGTTTAAGGTGAGCCGTAACCCCTGAACCTAAACCCGAAACCCGAAACCCGAAACCCTAAACCCTAAACCCTAAACCCTGAACCCTGAACCTCTAAACCCTAGACCCTAAACCCTAAACCCTAAATCCACCCTTGAGCCCCAAGTTTCCGAGGAGCCGGTGTGCTTGGCCTACGGCCTGCGCCGGGGGGATCAACTGCGGATCTCCATCAGCGAGGTGCGGGTGGGTACTGTAGGGGTCTCTGATGCTTTTAAGGGCTTGGGGTTTAATGTTTAGGGTTTAAGGTTTAGGGTTTAAGGTTTAGGGTTTAGGGTTCAGGGTTTAAGGTTTAGGGTTTAGGGTTTAGGGTTTCGGGCCACGCCCCAAACCCCCTGAACCTCAAGTCACCAAACTTCCTTGAACCCTGAAGTTTACCCATGAGCCCCGAACCCTAAGCCAAAGCCCTAAACCCGAAAGCCTGACCCTAGAACAGAACTCTAAGATCTGCTATCATCAACCCCGCACCCCCAACCTAAACCCTAAGCCCTAAACCCTAAACCCCAAACCCTAAACCCTAAACCCTAAACCCTAAACCCTAAACCCTAAACCCTAAGCCCTAAACCCGAAACCCCAAACTCCAAACTCCAAACCCAAGCCCTTCCCCAAGGACTCGTCGCAAGCGAAGCCGGAAGAGCGGCAGAGTCGGTCCCAGTGGGGGAAGATGCTCACTGGTGAGGTGGCTCAGCACATGCAGAAAGGGCAGGGGTTCCATCGGGGCTCTATCTGGGTTTAGAGTCTTAGAGTTGCGGGTTCAGGGATTTTAAGATTGAGGGTTTTAGGGTTTGGGCCTCGGTGAGGCTTTGGGCTCTATAGGGGTTGCGCAGGCGTCCCTGGACCCTCAGCCCCGCATCCTAACCCTGAAACCAAGAATCCACAAACATAAAAGCAGTAACCCTAAACCCTAAACCCTAAACCCTAAACCCTAAACCCTAAACCCTAAAACCTAAACCCTTAACCCTAAGCCCTAAACCCTAAACCCCTAAACCCAGCTCTGCCGAGGTGGAAGCCTTGTCCAAGGGCGGGGGTGGGCTGGTGCTCCTCTTCTGTTGTGGGCCATCGCCCGCAGTGCAAGGCGTTCAGAAGTTGAGACGCGGCTTCAACTGGCCGGTTTTCTAGGGTTTATAGTTTATACATTTATAAACAATGAACCCCAAACCGAAACCCTAAACCCTAAACCCTGAACCCTAAGCCCTGAACTTTAG